CAACCGCAAAGGATACAATTAGGCAGATTCGAATAATCGAAGACACGAGGTTGGAGCACAAACACGCCACCTCAGGCGTATTTGTGGAGGAAATATCCTCTTGATTTCTGAATGTTCATAATTATAAGCCTACGGACCAGATGAACCGAATAATATATTAAGCAAGGACCTGGATGGATAGGGCTGCTTACGATAGAACAGGAAAATAAATGATTACGCGGGTCTGCCAGAATGTATACCTAAACAGGACAAGATATTCGGTAAAAAAGCTATAATCAGGAATAAAATAATGTTATATGAGCAAAACTTGGGTTATAAAGATAAAAAGATGGAATCGTATAATCATCAACGGCTGGGAAGAAAGTACGTGCTTGCGATTTGTGCTTTACGTAAATAAGTTTTATATTTGACAAAATGACACAAGTGAATTTATTTTACAATATAATAACTTGGTTCATTGAAGTGCTTTGGAGGATTTGGACTGAATACATGAATTTCTCATGGGCCTGCTCTTTCGGCGCCTGGTTAATTTATGCGAAAAAGCGCGAAAAGGCGACAAATATTTACAGAAGAAAAATGAAATAAGAATAATGGATATCAAGACCAGCACAATAAGAGCATACACAAACATACTAGGAATATTTATTGAAGCTCTTTGATAGAAGGTGCTAAACGACGTACCCAAAACATCAGAAAAACTGATCATGGGCTGATAAATTATGCTAAATATGACATCAATGAACAAGACACTCGAGATAGGCGTCGTGGATATTGCTTGATAGTAAAGTTCGCAGTTATCATCAGTTCTTAGACTAAATCTATGGAATATTTTGTGCCAGATGGTTCGATCAGACTCAGGTATGCAGGAGTCTGGAGGACCATTACTGTAACGCGAGAGGATTGCAGCCCTTTGTGCAACTGCCATAGAATACAAGCGGTAGAATTGTTGAGCAAACAAAACTAAAGCAATTATAAGTGGAAGGAACAAAAATGGCTTTTTGAAAATGACCATGACAGATAATATGAAGATGATAAAAATGAATATATGTGATGGAGATAAAAAGATATCGAGTGCATTTTTGAAGAATGACGAGAAATTAACGAACGAGTAAGAATCTCTTGACTGGCTAGGTTTAACTTCGGAGGCGGAAATGATAATATGGGAAAAAAGAGAATTGATGATTTCCGGAGAAGGAAATACAGATACACCATCTGCAAGAGTGTATTTTTCAAGCAGATTAAGGTCATCTTTTCTGACACTAAGCTGTAAATTGATAGATAATTCCGGTTTATCCTTCAAATTATTATTTTTTGCGAGAGGTAGAACTCGGTCTATTATGCATCTAGCTAATGCATTATGGAGTCGAAAACAATGATTCAACTGATTTGAGCGATTTTCATCACATGAACTATGGGTTCGAACACTAACAGAAGTTCCAATCTCTTTCGGACCAGGAGGAACTTTGACCTCTTTTGGGAAAAGTGAAAAAGGATCTTGGAATGCCAAGCACGCGCGAATAAGAAGAAAATAAAAGCAAAGCCACTAAAAAGGTAAGAATTTAACGATAATAAGTTAATACGCACCAACTAAACATCGAAATGTCACTAGGCCATGACACTCACCTCAGCACTCAGATGCATAATAAATAAAAATAAACAACAAAACTCT